TTTTGTATGTTTATATCAATATTGTACAAGATTATTATATTTAAATTAGTGCTGTCAAACGATTAATCGTGATTAATCGAATCCAAAATAAAAGTTTTTGTTCACATAATATATGCGTGTGTACTGTGTTTATTTATTATGTATGTATTTTGAAAATATTTACATGTGTATATATTTAATATATTCATATAATTTATATTATATAAAAATATATAAACATAACACTTCTTAAAAATATACATGCATGTGTGTGTATTTATATAAACATAATAAATAGAAACAGTCCACTCACATGTCATGTAAACAAAAACTTGTATTTTGGATGCGATTGATCGTTTGACAGCACTAATTTAAATCAATGTGATAAACGAGGTAGGTCAAAAGTAATCTAAAAGTAATCTGATTACATGACCTAAAATGTGTAATGTAATGAGATTACGTTACTAACTACAATTTTGGTGATGTAATTTGGAATCAGTAACGGATTACAATTTGTAAGTAATCTACCAAGCACTGCTCTGCCAATAAGATTTCACTTCAAGTTTAATTTCGCTTTTACAACCATTTAAACCAGTGGTCTCAAACTCAATTCCTGGAGGGCCACAGCTCTGCAGAGTTCAGCTCTAAATCACACCTGCTGCTTGGAAGTTTCTAGTAATCCTCAAGACCTCAAGATTAGCTGGATCAGGTGTGTTTGATTAGGGTTGGAGTAAAACTGTGCAAAGCTGTGGCCCTCCAGGAATTGAGTCTCATATTAACAGGCTTACCACATAACCAACGATGAGCCGGTGCGTTTCTGGGACTTCATGTCACAGATTCTGGTGGGTCTGGGCTACAGTGCTCTGCGATACCATCTGCCCTACACACTGGTCTATGGGATAGCCCTGCTGCTGTGGCTGATCGCTGTGCTGCTGCGGCCGCTGATCCGGATCAAACCCATTCACTTTTATGAGAGTAGCTCTGGCTGGCAGCCACCAATACTACAGCTGCGCTCAGGCCAAAGAGGACATGGGTGCCTTTACGAGAGGCAATAGTGCGCACTGTGGAGAGCTAAAAGTAGTCTGATTACATGACCTAAAATGTGTAATGTAATGGATTACGTTACTTTGGAATCAGTAACGGATTACAATTTGTAAGTAATCTACCAAGCACTGCTCTGCCAATAAGATTTCACTTCAAGTTTAATTTCGCTTTTACAACCATTTAAACCAGTGGTCTCAAACTCAATTCCTGGAGGGCCACAGCTCTGCAGAGTTCAGCTCTAAATCACACCTGCTGCTTGGAAGTTTCTAGTAATCCTCAAGACCTCAAGATTAGCTGGATCAGGTGTGTTTGATTAGGGTTGGAGTAAAACTGTGCAAAGCTGTGGCCCTCCAGGAATTGAGTCTCATATTAACAGGCTTACCACATAACCAACGATGAGCCGGTGCGTTTCTGGGACTTCATGTCACAGATTCTGGTGGGTCTGGGCTACAGTGCTCTGCGATACCATCTGCCCTACACACTGGTCTATGGGATAGCCCTGCTGCTGTGGCTGATCGCTGTGCTGCTGCGGCCGCTGATCCGGATCAAACCCATTCACTTTTATGAGAGTAGCTCTGGCTGGCAGCCACCAATACTACAGCTGCGCTCAGGCCAAAAAGGACATGGGTGCCTTTACGAGAGGCAATAGTGCGCACTGTGGAGAGCTACCCACATCTGCGGAAGGGAGCGTAACACCAAAGTGAAGCTGGAGAGTGATTGACATAGATTACTGTTTGCTGAACTGCATTATGAGCCTTGCATGTGTCCGTTGGATTACCAGTGTTTACTAGGCAATATTAACAATGCACTTAATCATTCCTATTCTAAACGCACCTTTTTACCAGGATGTAGCATCATGTAGTTCAACAGTGTTGTTGAATTCAGATGGCAAATATGGACATTTGCAGCTTTCTGTTTTGGTCCAAAAGAATTCAGAGTTTATGTAACAGCAGCTGTTTAGTTTTTCGAAACTGCAGTATAAATTTCACATCAAGTTTCTAATTGTGTCATGTTCCTTTTTTTGGATACTTGAAATGAAATGGAATTCGCTTCCCGTTTTACTTATGTAATGTGACGTTTTGCACATACAGTTGAAGTCAAAAGTTTACATACACAGATCAGGGTAAATTTAACTTATTTTGTCTTCTGGGAAACATGTAAGTTTCATCTGTAGCTTCTGAAGGGCAGTACTAAATGAAACAATATGAAAAAAAATGCTCTTAATTCATGGTTTTTGCTTCTGGAGCATCAGTGAGCGTTTGATCCTTCTGTAATAGTTGCATACGAGTCCCTCGGTTGTCCTCAGTGTGAAAAGATGGATCTCAAAATCATACAGTCATTGTTGGAAAGGGTTCAAATGCACAAAAATGCTGGAAAACCAAAGAATATGTGGGACCTGAAGGATTTTTCTGAAGAACAGCAGGCAGTTTAACTGTTCAGATCAAACAAGGGACTCATGAACAACCATCACTAAACAAAAACACAGCTGTGGATCATTCAGGTAACAACACAGTGTTAAGAATCAAGGGGATGTAAACTTTTGAACGGGGTCATTTTTATAAATTCAACTATTGTTTTCTCTTGTGGACTATATGTAAACAACTTTTATGTGAAATATCTTATTCAGGTTAGTACTAAATAAACAATAACATGCATTTTGTGTGATCCCTCTTATTTTGGTAAAATAATTAACATTTTGCAGATTTTTCAAGGTGTATGTAAACTTTTGACTTTAACTATATTTGTGTCATTTAAGGGATAATTTACCCAATTATAAAAATAGAAAGACAGTGTAAACATAATCCATATGAACTCATGGATTATGAATATGGATTCATATGTATTACATTGACCATGCCTTTTATACTTTAACATGGTGATGTGTTGAAATTGTAGATGTGCAGATTTTCAATGGATGAACAAAAGTGAAGAGAGAATAAGAGAGAAAAACATTTTATGGGTTTGGAATAACATGAGTGTAAGTAAATGATGACAGAATTTTCACAGGATATTCTATAAGGGAAAAGAATCATTTTCTGCAGTACAATTAATGTTACCTTGCTATCAGTTACTGCATTAAGTATTTGTAAGACTTAACAAAATTCTAATTATAAAACGGATAGTTCCGGTCCTTGATTCTGATTGGCTGAGCCACGTTCAAAGCTGTTGTAAATTACTCTACAAACACACACCTTTGTTTACTTCTGTGTGTTGCTCTGAAACCACTTTGTTGGAACCACAGCCGTTTCCGAGGAACTACATTGTTTGGCGGAAGAATAATGTTTTACCATTACACTTAATATGCTCTGTTTAATTTTGTGAAACCTTACTACGTATATGGAATAACCGTTTTATAAAAGCAATAAGCCCCGTGAAACCGTGGTTTACAGTAAATTTATAACAGCTAACTCCGCTTCGCGTCGTGCCTAACAACGCCCCTTAGCTGTTATAAATTCACTGTAAACCACGGCTTCTTGGGGCTTATTGCTTTATTTACAAATAATGTAATTATAAAGAATGTAATCATAATGACGTATGATCCCTCTTGTATCGTTAGAGTAATTATTGGATGGCTATGCAATCTCCTACCAACTAATTTTTCTCTGCCCACTTCCACCTCCTCTACAATATCTAACAACTTCAATCGCACATGAATATAACTATTGTTATTTCAAGCTAGCCGTCCATTAGTGATGCATTTTATCTTGCACAAAAGACAGATGACAGCAATGTTTCACTAATGTTGCATTTTTGCAATTCCTCCAGCAGGCGTTGGATGGGAGGTGGGGGTGTTGTTCAGATAGCTGAGATTCTCCTCTCACAGATATGAATTGCTATCGCTATGACTCACAGTCGTCAAACCTGTTCCTGTCCCGTAGCAGTAGGTGTGACCCCTGGTGAAACCACATCAGGCCTGTTAGCTTTCTCACGTTCACAGGGGTGTGAGTGCGTCTGATGGGTTAGTGAGTATCCTAGAGACTGTACACACCCTGTATATACACACTTTAGACAGCGTGGTTTGGATGAGTCCCACAGTCTCCATTTAAAAAACCCTGACTCAGCCGTTCACCTCCAATGAACACTGAGTTATCATTGACAAGTTTATGTAAGCAGTTAGTAGGCAGGCGTTGTTTTTGAAAGTCTACAGCATGTGAGTTTTTGATTCGGTGTAAATCTGTCATATCTGTCAGTTCTATCAGAATTCACAGCTTTAACGAAAATAAAATGTGCTTTTTTTTTTTTTACCTGGGTCTATTCATTATAAAAGTGCATGTTCATAAATACAGTGACATGAATACACATGTTGTGACAAATGTCTGATTTAAAATTGGAATTTTGCTTTAAAAATGTCAAGCTGGTAAATAAATTGGTCTCTTTAAAAAAAAAAAGATAATATTTATTATAGCATTATAATTTTTTTTAAACATTGCAAAGGAGTTAAAATATTCATATTTGAAAAACCGTTTTGTCCACCAAAATGATTTCCTCTTAAGTCGGGGTGGTGCAATCAAGCTATTCTGTTGTCATGTGACAGAACCTGTAGAGCCTCATGACTATGTCAAGGCCCATCAGACTAATTTTCAGGTTCTAAACCAAATTTAAAATTTTGGCATGTGTTTTAAAGCAGATTTTTCAATTATTTCAATTTTTATCATTTCAGATATCCTTATTCATCATTAACTTCGAGCCTGTCTTCAGTAAGTGGCACAAGCTGTTATTTTTGGAAGCTTTTCTAGAATAGTCCCACAGGAACACCTTATGAGCTCGCACCGTCCCTCTGGACACCGGCCTTCTGTCTTTCAGTCATGCAGAAGGCAGCTTAACCCCATCTCAATTCAACCAGTTCAGAGGACATCACTTCCAGTAATTGTTTGGTGCAGATTTGTCTGAATTTGGGCTGTAAATGCAACAGAATTCAACGAATAAATGTGGGAGAGTATCACACCTCCCATTGCTGCCAAAACATGAAGTACACACACACACACACAGACAGAGGTACACACCTATAGGTTTGGTTGGCCTGGCCTACCTGACTGGCTGGGCAGGTCTGTGCCCACACCCGAATCTGCTCGCTGGAGGAGAGAGCTGTCAGTGAACACCTCCCCTGAACGTGTGTGTGTGTGTTTACAGAGCTCACAATCAGTCAGCCAAAATCCCCAGCACTGCTCAGTGCACCTGCCACCATACTGCAGCTAAACTGACATTAATAAGGTAGGTCATCTCTTCCACTCGTTTCTAACATGTTCTGGGACTATATGGGGTTGGCAACTGCTTCTTTCACCTGTACTGGCTGATATATGACACAGTGAAAGTGTTTTTGCCTTCATATCGTTGATTTGGCTTTCACTCTGTCACTGTCACAATCGCTGTTCAAACATGTTTCGTCTTGCACAAGCTGTGTTGACGCTTGACGGTCACTATGGTGCAATGAGCAACTTTGGCCTTATGGACTTAAGAAAATTAATTTACTGCCAATAAGCTTTATGTCACTTGTAGTTGTGAGGCTGTAATTTGGACATTATATATCATGGTTATGTTGATCATTAGAAAGCATATTGTTCAGGCTTACTCAAATTATTCAGAATAGTTACATATGACAAAACAAATACACACAAATGTTGATTTGGACAGCCACCGAACAATTATGGAAACTAAGGGTGGTTGATTTTGAACTCAAGTGCTTATGGAATTAAAGTAGTTAAAAAATTAAAATTCTGGACATAATGTAAGGGACATAATGAAATCTGTTGCATATGATCAGGTGTTCAGACTCTTTCATTGTCAGTGTGTGTGTGTTGTGCCTGGATGGACAGGCTCTTCTACATGGTTTAGAAAAGAAAGCTATGAATCTTGCTACAGATGTACATCTTGGGATCTGTATCTCAGGTTCAAAACAACCTGATTAAATAAACATATATTCATGATTTGTGTCGTAAAGAAATGCACGAGTAATTTGACTTATGTAACTGAAACCATTTAAGCATGACTCTCCAACTTCCCTGTTCTCTGTGTTGGATGGAACGAATCTGTCAGTTACTTGGAGAATTTCCTGAATCATTTTTTTTTAGTTTGAAAGTTGTGTAACATTTTTTAGTTTGGCAGTCTCATGATGAGAAATATATATTGTGTTAGTTTAGCCTGCCAACAATTCATCACCTTTGTGTACCTACAATTTATACTTGAGGCATGTAATTCACTGTATACTTGGTGTGATTTTTATAAAAAAAAAAAAATGCAGTGCGTCCAGAAATAAAAAAATGTATTAAATTAATGTAATCAGCTATTTCATTAATGTACGCTTCCATTCAAAAGTCTGGGGTTGGTAGGATTGATTGATTGATCGATTTATGATCACCAAGGCTGCATTTTTGTAATCAAATATACAGTAAAAACAGTAATATTGTGAAATATTATTACAATTTAAACGTTTTACTGTTTTCTATTTTTTTTATATATACAGTACTTTTTAAAATAAGTTTATGGGCGTTGTCTTTAACCCTAAAACACAACACAGCGATTCAAAATATGGGTAAAACACTTGTGAAAAATTTAAAATTCAATCAATGCTGATTGATTGAAATGTTGATTTAATGCTCAAGAAACACTTGTTCTATCTTTATATTTTAGTGCACCTTTGTTGCATTGTCAGTACTTTCTATTTTAAAAAATATTTTACAATCTAAATGAAAAATGAAAGGCCAATAAATGAAACGAATACAAATATTTGCTTGTGTGGGGTTTTTAATGACTGACCTTTTTTCTTTTTTAATCCAGGTGTCTTTCGAGGCAGTTTTTAGACCTTTTTGACTAGAGGGCCACTAACAATGTCCAAAGGTAAGATCCAATAACCAATGTTTCAATGTATCTTATCTTATTGAATCTCACATGAGTCAAACTGTCAGTGTTTATGCATAAGTCAGAGCTATTAATTTATGGCATTCCATTCTTACAACCAAAACAATGATGTCCTGCGTCACAGCATCAAATCCTGTCGTGCCACATGTCACACATTGCTTAACAAACTCAACTTTTTTTTATTGTCTCATACCACTGTTAGCACTGATGTAATCAACTTATCAACTTTTGGCTCAATGTAGTGATATTAAAATATATCTTTATATGTTTGTGTATGATAAGCTCTGGACTGTCTTGATTTCAGAGGGGGACAGACAATCAGTTTTGCGGACCACAAAGGTTCGCACCGCTCTAAAAGGAGACAGCAGCTGGATACAGAGACAACAGCAAGAAAATCTTGAGAAAGATGAGGAGGAGAAACCATGGTGAGAAATAAATATTATAACAAATCTTAAAGTTCAAAGTTCACAGTACAATTTATCTAACACGATCTCTCTTGTAGGGTTGCCGAAGTGCGAGCAAACCGTTCAAATGGTGTGTTTGAAGAAACAAGTCCTGTTTCCTCACCCACAACCAATGTGCCTCAGCCCAGATCCGACACAGAGAAGTATGCATTATTACTCTCCATGGTCTACATCTACATTTACTCATTTAGCAGGCCAACGTAACCTACAGATGTAGAAAATGTCAGTAGAGCACAGTAAAGAGTCATTTGTGTATTGTTCAGTGTTCTTTTGGGTTTACTGAAGACCTAACACACCACTGCGTTTTGAATCATGTTCAGAGATTTGAGCTAGAGGAGCAATGCGGTACTCCAGTGTTGTGCAGCATTAAAAAAACTGCATGACTGGTTGTCCTTGGTGATGTGGTCTGCTTAGATTTAGATGGTGGTCAAACACTATCCCCAACTTATTGGCAACCTGAATGGTTCATTTGTGAACCATACTGAATGGTGTTGTCTTAAATTGGATTGGCTTGGAAGAAAAGAAGCTTCCCAGTAGGTTAAGCTGGAGGTGGTGTTTTTTCAAGCATTGATTTGTTTACGTTTCATATATCTGCATATATCCTTGTTTCGGTTTCTCCTTTTGAATGACGAATACAGACTATTGATAGCTGCTGATATATGCAGGAGCAGGACACACATGCTAGTTTGTAGTCAGCTGTAGTCTGTGCGGTGTGTGTTCAAGCACAGATTTTTGGTGCAGACCCAGCTGACAACACCGTCGGCTTTTGTCGCCGCTAGTTCTTTGAAGTTGGCTTTGTGTGTCCCGTCCTTATCAGACAAACAAAGGTCTGTGCAGCCACTGTAAGATTGTCAAGTTGGAAGGAGAACTACATGTCATTGGCATAGCACTAGCAGGAAAATCAATGTTCCTAGATGATCGGTCACATCAATGTTGTGTATTTCAGAAAGTGGAAGGGACCAATAACCGAACCCTGAGGCACACCAGCAGTTATCTGACACCAACACACCATGAATAATCTGTCTGTAAAGTAATACTCAAACTAGTGAAGTGCAGTTCTGTGAACAATAAGGTGGACAGGAGGATCTGGTGAATTACTGAGTTGATGGCTACAGAGTGGTACAGCAGAATGAGGATGAATGATTGAGAGGATGCTTTCGCCAACCGCAGGGCTTTGTTGACTCATAGCAAGGTTTCTATTGAATGTCTGCTTTTGAAGCTTGACTGATTGTTGTGTAGCTGGTTGTTCTATGAGAAGTAAAAAAAGTGCTTTTGCAATGGACACAAGGAAAGAAACTGATCTGAAATGTTCTGTTATTATAAGATTATGTACTTTTTAAGCAGTGGAGATACCTGATACTGTAGGAGTGACAGAAGAAGTGTAGGAGATGTGGCTTGTAGAAAATAGGAGGGAATAGGGTCAATAAATATGTAATATATACACTCCTAAAAATTAAGGTTCATAAAGGGGATTTTCACAGTGATGCCATAGAAGAATTATTTTGGTTCCCCAAAGAACCTTTAAGTTAAAAGAACCACGTTTTTACATGTTAAAAATTACAATATTTTATTTTCAAATTCACAGACCAAAAACATCTGAATCTGGATACTTAATCAGGTAATGAGAACGCTCGGTCAATCAAAAGTTATCTTTATCAGCACTGCCTTTGTATTACTTTCCTTCATATGTGACCATTTACTTTTGCAGAGGGGTATTCAAGAAAACCAATTCCAAGCCAACATCAAATTCATCCACCAATGGATATGCGTAAGAACATTATGAAGGATCAGAAACCACACTAGTTCTATAGACATTAGAACATCATGAAATAAATTCCATTAAATTAATATGGATGTATCTTTACACTTAAACTACATTTCTAATATATGATTTGTAATTGCTAATAAAAGATAAACCAGTTTTAATAGAATGCTATTTGTCTCTCCTCCCTTAGTGGAATAAATAGCTTCAACAAAAAGCCATCTGAGAGTTACAAGAAAATGTAAGTTAGCCGAAAACACTCAAGCATGTGGGTCACGCACATGAAGCCTTTGAGCTCATTTTAGCACATCTTAATTATGCTTATTTCCATAAATTTTCTTTTCCCAGAGCCCCCCACACAATACGGTCCAGCAATGAAAAGACAGTGCAGTCTGAACCAACTCTGAGTCCAGAGGAAATGGAAAAGAGGTGAGAAACCACACTCCCCAGACTGATTTATCCAAGGTGACTTCATTTTCCTCTTCATAAAATAACCTTGTGTGTGTGTGTGTACAGGACAGAGGCAGCCAGCAGTGTGCTGAAGGGATCGGCAGCATATCGCCGTTCATACGTAATGTCAGCTGCAAAGAAATATGAGTAAGTGCCTTGTTGAAAATACGATTTCTGGAAATGTAACATACTTTGTAAGTGTACCATGGTAATACCATGCACATTAGTTAATAATATGTACCTTTAAGGTGCTAATATACACGTTTTAGGCCTAAATAAGGTAAAAAGGTGTATCAAGTGACAGCTTTTTCACTTTTTTCTAAGTGTATCACCACTGTATATTTTTATAAGAAGGCCTCCCTTTTTTTTTTTTTTTAGTATTGAAATGTTTCATGTTAAATATATAAACATTTCTTACACCATCAACAAAACAACTACCAATATTATTCGAATTTGTATTTTTACATTAACAGTGTAATTAATGTTCTATTTATTAAAACAAACTATATTTGAGTTGAATTTATTTGACACAAAAAGTAGCAATTCACTGTTATAACTTTCTTGTCAAGGATAATTTCCATTGTGGTCCTTGCTTTAAAAAGGAGAATCAAAATGTCTTTTTAAGAATTTTTACATTTATTCCAAAATACTAACTATAAGAGCACAGTAACAAATTTCATATTTCATGTGTATTTTATTTGTTAACTTATGTTCAGCTGTTCTTTTTAATAGTGAACTTTAATAGTTAATTTAAGGCAGTGCATCCACGTGACTTTTCCCCATTGATTTTTAATTACTTTTCCTCTGTACAACTATTTGGTTAAAATATTAAGATGAATGCATATCCTATTCCTCACTGCACAATGTTCACATCTAATATCTCCAGATCTTCAGAGAAGCCTGACAGCTCTGCTGAGATGGGCATTTCCTTTGTTGCAAAAAGGTACTAGCCCACACTGACAAAAGTATATAGGGTGAAAACTGGTAAAGTGGCACAGTTGATGATATGGCACCGATTAAACTTACTCATCTATCATTATGTGCATCAGCAATAAGTTAAAGTGCCCCACTTTACCTGTGTAAACCCTATATGTTATCACCATTATCCTCATCCTCTTACTGTTGCATGTGTATGTGGTTTGTAGGGTAGATATCAGTGATGATGATGACACTACAGCATCTGTCAAGTCTGTGCCTGTGCAAAGGTAAACTTCACAACATCTCTCAGTTATACAACTTCAAGCTCCTATTTCTTGTTTAACACCATCTCATTTGTAATTGTATTTTATTTACAGTGTCAAATCAAACACTGAGCCAGTGGTGAAGGAGGTCAAGCCAGCAGCACCTGAAATTAAATCTGAACCTAAGCCAGTGACTGAAACGAAACCTACAACACAAACTAAAATAACAACTGAAGCTATCGCCACATCAGAATCTAAAACAGCGCTAGAAAATACAACACAGCCTAAAACAGCATCTGAGCCTAAACCAGCAACTGAAACTACAACAGTGGCTGAAACCAAGCCTACAGCACAAACTAAAACAGTAACTGAACTTAAAACTGAACCTAAACCTACAACACAAACTACAACAGCAACTGATCCTAAACCCACATCAGAACCTAAAGCGGTTGAAACTAAACCTACAACAAAAATTGAACCTAAACCAGCAATTGAAACTAAAACAGAAACTAAACCTGCAACACAAACTACAACAGCAACTGAACCTAAACCCACACCAGAGCCTAAACCAGCTGAAACTAAACCTACAGCAACTGATCCTAAACCCACATCAGAGCCTAAACCAGCTGAAACTAAACCTACAACAAAAATTGAACCTAAACCAGCAACTGAAACTAAAACAGAAACTAAATCTACAACACAGACTATAACAGCAACTGATTCTAAACCCACATCAGAGCTTAACCCAGCTGAAACTAAATCTACAGCAACTGAACCTAAACCAGCAATTGAAACTAAAACAGTAACTGAACCTAAACCCACACCAGAGCCTAAACCAGCTGAAACTAAACCTACAACAAAAATTGAACCTAAACCAGCAACTGAAACTAAAACAGAAACTAAATCTACAACACAGACTATAACAGCAACTGATTCTAAACCCACATCAGAGCTTAACCCGGCTGAAACTAAACCTACAGCAACTGAACCTAAACCAGCAATTGAAACTAAAACAGTAACTGGACCTAAACCCACACCAGAGCCTAAACCAGCTGAAACTAAACCTACAACAAAAATTGAACCTAAACCAGCAATTGAAACTAAAACAGTAACTGACACTAAAACAGAAACTAAACCTACAACACAAACTACAACAGCAACTGAATCTAAGCTAGAGGTGGAAACTAAATCTACAACAAAGACCACAATAGCAAGTGATCCTAAACCCACATCAGAGCCTAAAGCAGTTGAACTTAAACCTACAAAAACAGCTGAACCTAAACCAGCAGCTGAAACTAAACCTACAACACAAACTACAACAGCCACCGATCCTAAACCCACATCAGAACCTAAACCAGTGACTGAAACTAAACCAGAACCTGAAGCTAAATCTGCAACTCAGCTGAAACCAGCACCTGAATCCAAGCCTGAACCAGTTCCAGAGAAAAGGTTTGCTGTATTAATGTTCATATTACAGAAATGTAAATAATTGCATATCTGATGTTGATTAAATAGCCTTTTACGCTTGGTGTCTGTAGACAGAAACCTTTATATTGATGCATTTTCTTCATGTTTTTATCCTTTGCAGCCTGTCTGACACCCTGATATCCTTCAGCACAGAGCCTGCCAGGTACAAAGATGATCCCATTCATGCATAATAGCATCCGTCATATAAAGATTATGTTCATTAATCTCAGTGCCATTCATGTGTAAAGGGGTTTCATACAGTAGCGGAGAGTGAGAACGCTGATATTGGTGCTGTTTATCTGACCTCACTGTCATGTGAATTAATTGCGCTTATTGTCATGTGATAGTTCAATGCAGTCTAAGATAAACTTGTCAGATTCACACAGTCACAGACGTGATCTAAACCCACTCTTAGGCATATGAATATGTATGCAGTGTCCATAAGTAGCATCAGTTGTAATTGAAGAAGTAGTATTTAGTCGGGTACCATTCATGCAAACCAGTGAATGAGCACATTCGGTGAAAATATTGCTTTAGTTTGTTTATTTATACAAACATATTATGTTTTATATGGTTCTCAGTTTGTTTTGCTAAGGAAAGGTGTATTTAATGGGATAGTTCAACTGAAATGGACAATTCAGTCATTATTTGCTCACATTGGTATTGTTCTAAAGCAGTATTACCTTCTTTCTTTTTCTTTTTTTAAGCACAATGAGCAGAGAATGTTTTATTTATTTTATTTTAAAGCATTTTTTTTATTTATTCTAAAGCATTTGAAAGGGTTTGTCAAAAAAAAGGACATTTATTATTTAGCAAAAATCCTTAACTTGGTTGTCGCTCTACTATGTGTCACTTCTCATTTTTATGAGAGTGCAGACTTTCACCAAATTTTCTGTCACAGGGTTGAACTACTAACTCACTAATCAAATATTAGGTGGATGACAGTTACATAGCAATACTTCTGTTGACCGACTTTAAAGAATAATTTTGAAATATGCTGTTTTGTAACAGACCACTAGAGGACAGGAGAGCTCTCTTGGAGACAATATATTTCAAAAGGAAGATTTTGATTCTAATCCAATTACTACATACACCATTGCTGTATTTCTTTGTCCTGCAGTTCTGGCCAAGCAGACTCAGGAGTAGATCTTCTCAGTCAGGATCTGCTGACAGACAACAGGTGAGAGAGGCCGAATACACCTGTGATTATTACTGAAATTATTTTAGATCCCCAGAGGAGTGTAATATGCAAAACAGAGGCTGTGGTCATTCTATAAAATAGATGCCTCGTATACATGTGTACAAAATGAGTTGAAGCTTGATTCTGAGGCTAAAACTGAAGCAAAAAATGAGTGCTGTCAAACAATTAATCACATCCAAAATAAAAGTTTTTGTTTACATAATATATGTGTGTGTACTGTGTATATTTATTATGTATAAATACACATACATGCATGTGGGTCAAAGACGAAAAAGGGTTTAAGCATAAAAATAATACTGCTTTAAATTGTTGTTTTTCCCAAAAATTTTTTTTGTTTTTCTGAGCAAAAAATAAATATCATACATTTCCCCCTGATTTACAGAAGACACCCACTAAAATGTCATTCAGTGTAACAATCTTGTCAGGCATATTTACAACAAAAATCAATTTATGACATATTAAAAAACTAATTACTTTTGCCCCAACTTTTATTTTGGATGCGATTAATCGTTTGACAGCACTACAAAAAATAAAACATTTTGTCTTTATTATCTATATATTTTTTGATTTTTTGACGTAATTCTAAAATGTAATTCATTATATGCTGGTGGAATGCTCTGCCCAACTCAATCCCAGCAGCTGAGTCCTTAGCCATCTTCAAGAATCGGTTAAAAACACATCTCTTCCATCTTCATTTGACCCTCTAACTTGCCCCAAATACTAATTAGTTGTTATTTTAATTTTCTTTTAATTTGCCACTATCCTAGGTTTTGCCCATTTGTCAGTAAGAATTTTTTACTCATTTAAAACACAATAAAATGTAATATGCTCACTTATTATTTTATATATTTTCATATGTACAAGTCAGAATAAGTATGTTGTTTGAATTTTTACACAAATATTGTGTTACACTGAATGACAATGTAACATTATTTCAACCAAATTTTGACATTTTATTTTTCAAAAACTTATTTGAAAGCTTAAAATTAGACACTTTACTTACATTTAATGTGCTTTCTATGGACATAAAATCACTTTTGTAAATTTCTTTTGATGCGCAAAAAATGTCCCTTTTAGACTTGCACGCTATTCATTTACTGCTCGTTTTCTTTAAAGTGCCCCTATTATGGGTAATGAAAGGTTCATATTTTGGTTTTGGGAGTCCCCAACAACAGATTGACATGCATGCCAGGTCAAAAAACACTTTCATTGTCTTATAATGTAAATTTATTTTTACCTTATTTGCTCAAGGACTCCCAAACGATTCGCTCAACAAATCTGCGGTGATTGGTCCGATTGTGCTCATTTTTATTTCATAATGCCTAATAAAGCAGCGTTTGTGAGAGCAGTGCTGCTTTGTGTACAGCGAAACCATTATTTTTACCGCTCCAAAAGCGACACCTAGTGGCAAAGAATGAATTTGCATTTTTATTCAGACCAACACGAAAAGACCAAGAAGTGGGCGGGCAATATGCTAATGTTAATGTTGAGGTCAACATGAAACGGCTTGGGATTCGTTTTGAATACGACTCGTTTCAATGACTTCGACTCTTTCTTTTGAGAGACGATAACTTTATACACGGTGCACTTTCAGATTTAAAACTTGGCAGGATGTTTTCATACACTTAGAGCTGTACAGTGTTACACACTGCATGAAAGGTAATTTTTAAAAATCCATAATAGGGGCACTTAAAAAAAACTAACTTACACTAGTTTTTCTAATCTTTTTGTATTCTATCTATTTGTTTTCTTTTTATTTATTATGCAATTAACACAAGCAACAAAGGCCTCTAACTCTAGCTTGCTCTATTCTTTTTCTATTCTATCTGTTTTCTTTTTATTTATTATATAATTAAAAATAAAAAAACCTTGCTATGTGTGCTGAGTTAAGCTAACTGAGACTTGTTATAGCACTTGCATATCATTGCTCTTTTGTTGATTTTGATTGCTTCCATTGTCCCCATTTGATAATTTGGATAAAAGCAATTTACAAAATCTGCTAAATGACTAAATGTAATGTAAATTATATACATTTTATATATTTTTATATAAACTTATGTTGTTACCAAAGTCAACTATCATTTTCCCATTTTTTAACTGTATAGTTCACTTTGAGCACAAGGTTTGTAATGCCAAATTAAACCGTAAAACTGGTAAACCCGTTACTGTCAGCCTTACTAAACACTTAATTATATCCCAACAAACGGTATATTACAGTATATTCATTTAGCTTGAGATGGCACAATGCAGTTTTTTAACACTTACAGTCTTACACAAATGCTACTGTAAATTAATTTTTTTACTAAAAACAGTCAAACTGGAAGAGGCACGTGTATAGGATCAGTTGTTAAATGAGCTGAATATTTCCCCTCTAGTCCGCTGCCTCAGACAAACAAGACACATACAACTCTGGACCTGCTCGCAGATGATCTTATTCCCTTCAGTCCTACTACCACCAGGTGATTTTTTTGTCCTCATTTATTCTTTATTCATAGAACTATCATTTCTTAGCTTTGAAGAATACACATGGCAATGCAGTTTCTTAGACAGATAAGCAATATGATTAATAATGTAAAAATAACACATAAAAGAAGCTCAGAAGACCGTGAAGACTTCACTTGAGTATTGAAGTGTAACTAATAGTTTTGTTCCCCCTCTCAGAACCAGCACTGACTACACCTACAGCCGGAAAACCCTGATTAAAGATTTTAAGAGGTACAGCATCATTTCTTTCTTTCTTTCCATGTTATTTTTCCCAAATCGCACCCTAAACCAACCCGGATATAAACCCTAAAAGTTTTTCCTTCTTCCGTTTAAAAAAAAATCTCCGTCCACATGAAAACACAAACGCATGCTATGAAGCACTGTTAAGAGCATGCCAAACCAACAGGTGGCGATATAATCTCAACCGTAAAGCCATGTTGGCCAATCAGAAGCCTGAAAAAGTTTAATGTAGGCGGAGATAACAGTGCAGGCTCCGACGTCACAAGCCAAAAAATCTTCACCCTGGCAAGCGTTTTCAAAAATGTTCGATTTCAGTGACCTGGTGCTGCGTTTGCTTGTGGACGAACGGCCAAACCGAGTAGAAAAAGATGCGGTTTTAAAAATAACCGTTTTTGTGTGGACAGGGCCTATGTCCACACTTTCGTGACGTAATGCTGCTTTGACTGTTGGGTAGAAGTCTGCTGTGGAGCTCGGCAGAAGTGTGCACGAGCGCTCATGGGGCAAACGTCCAGGCAAAAATACTATAGTAATTTATAGTAAATACTATAGTGTTTTTGAACCATACTATAGTAAAGTTTATTATACTGCATATATTATAGTATTTACAACACTTTGTTAATGAATGCTACAGCATACTGTAGTATTAAAGGAGTAGTTCACTTCCAGAACAAAAATTTACAGATAATGTTCTCACCCCCTTGTCATCCAAGATGTTCATGTCTTTCTTTCTCCAGTCGTAAAGAAATTATGTTTTTTGAGGAAAACATTTCAGGATTTCTCTCCATATAATGGACTTCTATGGTGCCCCCGAGTTTGAACTTCCAAAATGCAGTTTAAATGCAGCTTAAATTATATGCAAACATTTCAGAATGTCATTTTACACAGTGCTTTTGATTAAATAGTAATATTAATCAAGATATGTTGTGCTTAATTGATAGTGTGCCACCAGACGTTTTGGTTTCCTTGGCTGAAGATGTCATTCCAATTGATACTAAGAGGTAATTCAATACTGCATAACTGTTTATTACACAGCTCATTTCTTGAGCCAACACCTGGACATGTCTGTGTTGATTCATGTTGTTTGCACAGAGATCTTTGCTAAGAAATGTCAATAACATAACGGGTTAAAGGCAGGGCCATACTGGGATGCAATTTCAAGCCAGGAAATCTCACACTCATGCAGGCCACACAGAAAAAAAGGGGCCAAAATTGTACCTTTTGGGGTACAACAGCTTGACACCGTAGCAGTACACCATACATATGAGTACCTTAAGAGTAGTAATTCGTACCCTTAAGATACTAATTTGTAAAAAAGTAACAAATATGTCCTTTTAAGGGTCCTGTTCCAGTGACAAGCTGTTGTACCCCAAAAGGTGCAATTTTGGCCCCTTATTTCCTGTATATAGCCTATACATCCACAACAATTTCTGAAACCAGACAACCCTATTATTTGTATGGCCATCACATAAAAAAAGGTCTAAATCCTTACTCTGGGGCCGTGAAAAAGAATTAAAGGTTCACTCTTGCACTGCACCTTCACTTCCCTTTCCATTTTCTTCATTTTTCCCCAATATCTCTTCATATCCCCACCTCTTTTTTTTTTCTCACCTGTCATTTGTTCTTCACAGGTCTACTGTTATGAACAGAACTGTGTCCACCTTCTTGAAAACATTCACCTCATTTCAATTTGTTAGCAAAGAATGTTATTTATCTTAAAATGACTTAAATACCCTAGATTTAATAAACCTATATTTCATACAAATATACATTACCAGTCAAAAGTTTTTTTTTTTAAAGAAGTCCCTTCTGCTCACCAAGCCTGCATTTATTTCATACAAAGTACAGCAAGAGCAGTAATATTGTGAAATATTTTTACTGTTTAGAATAACTGCTTTCAATTGGAATATATATTTAAAATGTAATTTATTCCTGTGATCAAAAAGCTGTATTTTCAGCATCATTACTCCAGTCTTCAGTGTCACATGATCTTCAGAAATCATTCTAAAATGTTTGTAACATTACCCATGGACTATACCAAAAGCTTGGAGTCAGGGGGGGTTATAGAAATTACTACTTTTATTTAGAAAGGATGCTTTAAATTTATCAAAAGTGATGATAAAGATATTTATAATTTTACAAAAGATTTATATTTCAGATAAATGCTGTTCTGAATTTTCTATTCATCAAAGAATCCGTCTAATTTTAATAAAAAATATTAAATATTACTGTGTAATAATATACGATATTGCTGTTTTTGCTGTATTTTGGATCAAATAAATGAAGGCTTGGTGTTCTGTTCGGAATCGTTTGAGGGAAGCACGGAACACACGTGAGCTGATTCCTATAGCGCAGTCAAGACTAACCGATTTATGATTTAAAAAAGTGAGTGAAGTGACGTGACATGTGGCCAAGTATGGTGACCCATACTCAGAATTAGTGCTCTGCATTTATTCCATCCAAAGTGCACACACACACAGCAGTGAACACACACACACACACACACACACCATGAACACACACCCGGAGCAGCTTATTATCGATTATCATTATTATTATCAGGGCAGCGGGCCAAATCAGTAACCAATGCTCCCGGTGCTCCCGATGGCCAATTCGGGCCTGGTTAAAGTCCCAGAGAAGGAAGTAGTGTGGTAATTTGAGTCAAACCCAACCCTAAAACTCCACCTGAGCTGCAGATAAACTCTCACACAGCATCAACCGCACTTTCACACGTGTGCACGCTCTCTGGAAATACAACTAGCCTTCATATCACCGGATCCCTTTTAAAAGCAACATGTTTTTTCCCCCCCACAGTGACTGGAAGACAGACATGGACAGGTAAGACACTGTTCATATTTGAGGTTTTGAGATTACAGAAGACGGGGATATAAATGGTTTCATATTTGATTAAAATATTCAACATGGAGTAATGATTAACATTTAATATTAACTTCCAGACACAATTTGTGACAACATGGGAAGAAATCTGACTTTCCAAACTTAATATCTCATTGAGGTCCTGATGTTCCCTAAAGAGGAAAAATAAAAGTTTTTCTTCTTCATGTTTCCAAAAAAGATATTTTTTAAATGGGGTTAAGAAGCATTTAACTGTCCGGTCTGGCCAAATACTCATGTACTGGTCACAAGGGCAAAACTAGCTTTTCCTGTTTAGCATCTGAAGAAGCAGAGCACTGGAGCAAAAGATACAGGGCAGGTTTAACAGCTAAATAAGTATAGCCCTGCTTTAAGTCTTGGGTTACTCATTGTTTCTTAAAAGATCTTTCCTGAAATAGTGCCTTGACAAAGACAAGTGCTTTAAAAATGCTGCATGTCTCTACATTTTCACCCTTATGTCCCCCACAGTCAAACAAAAGAGCTTATGATGAACAGAAGTACATGAGACCCTTCAGCGGTGCATGGTGCATCAGAGATCACACGTTTTGTTGTCTGAGACAAGATTTCTAACATAATGACTATTTTTGTCTTATAGTTACAAAACCAGCATCAAAACAGTGGAGAGTTCTGTCCAGGAGAACTTACCAGAATCCGAATCCAAGAAGTATGTGGGAAGATGTTATTCCACTGAATAGTTTATCCTGATTCATTTAACCGGAAAGTGTTGTCCTGTTGAATGCCTGATCTCTTTTGTTTTCTCTTTTCAGGAACTTTGTCTATGTTAAGGAGTATGTGAATAACTCGCGTCTTGATGGCAGGTAACTTGGAGACATTTTTATATGTGACCCTGGAGCACAAAACCAGTCATAAGGGTCAATTTTTCGAAATTGAGATTTATACATCAGCTGAAAGCTGAATAAATAAGCTTTCAATTGATGTATGGTTTGTTAGGATAGGACAATATTTGGCCGAGATGCAACTATTTGAAAATCTGAGGGTGCAAAGAAAATCTAAATATTGAGAAAATTGCCTTTAAATTTGTCCAAATTAAGTTCTTAGCATTGCATATTACGAATCAAAAATTTTGATATATTTACGGTAGGAAATTTACAGAATATCTTAATGGAACATGATCTTTACTTAATATCCTAATGATTTTTGGCATAAAAGAAAAATCAATAATTTTGACCCATACAATGTATTTTTGGCTATTGCTACAAATATCCCCCAGCGACTTAAGACTGCTTTTGTGCTCCAGGGTCACATATTCTTAGAATCATTCTCTGCCGTTATAGTTATTCAGCCAGAATTTGCTCCGTAAGATCAGCTGTTCTCAATTGGTTTGCTTTAGGACCCAGATTTAAGACTCGACGCAAGAACAAAATTGCTTACATATACTGTACAATACGAATATTCCAAAAATAAGCACTGAAATGAATTAACATGCCCTTGAACTGCATAGACTCTCTGATATGTGAAGCGGACCCTCAAGGGACTAATAATGCACAAAATACAACTTGACTGTGTGATGAGGATCTGGAGGACAGACCTGTCACCTTTTTTATTTTATTTTTGTAACTGATGTAAAATAAGTGCAGTGCAGAGATACTGTGCGGAAGGTTATGGAATAGTCATCTGTGGATCAGTACAATGTCTTCAACCACAAAAATGCTCTGTCTTCCTTTTTATAGCAGCTCTGACTATGTGTCATCAACAACCTCCAACTACAGCTACAGCAGCCCCAGCTACTCCTCCAGGTAACACATTTAGATATCTCACATGACATATGACAGCAGCCCCAGAAACAAGGACACTTCATTCTGTACTTATAAACGTACACAAAAGCACATTCATACATTTTGGGGCAAATGTATATGGGCCATTCTACAGAAAGTCAGAGTTGGAAACGTCTTGGAAAAAAAAAGTCAAATTGTATGTATGCAAATTGTATAATATCCGAGGTACACATTTCTAGTAATTGTGCAGTTAATTCTCATATTGTATTTTCAGAAAGTTTTGGAATATTTGTCCTCTCCCTAAATTTGTCACTATACCAAAAAACAGTAATAATAATTTAATTAGAAGGGTTATATTGACCTATTAAGATTTTGCTAAATTTTTTTACATTTTTTGCTATTTTATTTAAAATTTTCAGAGGTAAATCAATAACAATTACATTTTTTAACAATATTTCAAGTGTAATTTATAAGATTTGTTGTATTTTGAATCCAATTTTTCTTTGTAAAAGGCAAAATATAGTTGATCATACTGATTTCAACGTTAAGCATTCGTTAGTTTGAATATTCATTGAACCAAAAACTATCATAACACCTTAGTTGATAATTCAGTATACTTTATTTTTGACAAAACAACCCATGTTTCGGTAGTGACTACACATTTTTGGTAGTGACCGTAATGCTTTGGTAGCAACCACATCACATTACAGAATTTAACTCGCATATTAAAACACTACTGAAACATACTAAAATACAGTGCATAATGTACTCAATTTTTGTTTATTTCCCCCAGATATAAGGATTATGTGCTCCCTTTTGTCACTACCGAAACAATGAAGACATGTTTCGGTTGTGACAATTCTATGGGATAACACCCAAAAAAAACCCCAAAGATGTCACTACCGAAACTCCACCAAATATTTCGGTAGTGCTTTTGAACCTAGCTCAAAGATGCTAATCAGCACATCGTTAGCTAGCACAGTTCTGAAGAGTGGTATACATATAAAAACTAAATGTTATGGAATAACTCCTAAAAAAGTGTGCTTAATTGCAGAAAAAAGGTGTTCGGTAGTGACGTTCCTTAAAGTTACACACAGATTTTTCAGCCTTTTGAACACATTTACCTCAAAATGATGATACCTACCTAACCTTGTAGCAATGAGAGAGGGGGACACAGGAATATTTCCTGATCTTAAATTTAGGGGTGTAGTTAAAATCTCGGCCAATAGACTAAAACACGCGCTGTTTCGGTAGTGACATGAAAAATGCAGGACACTTTTTTTTAGTTTCATAATTTACAAAGAAAATATAAAAAATATTTTTTGAACTTCACTTTTTAAAAGAATCAAACAGATACTTTTAAAAACAACAATGGAAAAAAATACAAAAAATAATTTCAATATCATTTTCGTAAGTTGAAATTTAGGGTTCGGGACAGCCACCTCCCAACTGAAAGTACCCAATAAATTATGACTTTATATATTAAGCTTACAAATATTTTAAATATTACTGTGGGTTTCAATCGATAATAGAAGGATCTTAGTAAACATCTAAGATTTGAATGCTTAAATGCTTTTTAAATGTGTTTTTTGGTTGTGGGACAGCAGTTTCACATTCTGTAGAATGGCTCATATACGGACAAAAGTATTGGGACCCCCTTCTAATGAACAGGTTTGACTACTTTAGTAATTTCCATGAGTACAAATCTTAATGTTAAATAGGGCTGGGCTTTGACACAAATTTCACGTTTCGATTCGATTCGATTCTCATTCACAAGCTTTCGATTCGATTACCGATTCGATTCAATATCGATTATTTGGATATATATCAGGTACAGTACCTGCCAAACTTTCTAAAGGAAAAAAAATCTTAACTAATGCTGTAAAATATACACGAGAGTCAGTTGGTACAACATTACTATAATATTGAAGGTTAAAATTAATGAAGTTTTTACAATAATATCGATATCGTTTCGTAAAAATGAGAATCGATTAATATCGAGATCAGTAGTCATCAGTGTTTGGTGAAGAGGTTTTGGCTCAAGGTCTGCATTTAAAGTCACAGCAGAGGTGTTCAGCAAATAGGGCTGGGCTTTGACACAAATTTCACGTTTCGATTCGATTCGATTCTCATTCACAAGCTTTCGATTCGATTACCGATTCGATTCAATATCGATTATTTGGATATATATCAGGTACAGTACCTGCCAAACTTTCTAAAGGAAAAAAAATCTTAACTAATGCTGTAAAATATACACGAGAGTCAGTTGGTACAACATTACTATAATATTGAAGGTTAAAATTAATGAACAAGTTCTTCCACACTGACTCAATCAATCATTTCTTTTTGAACCTTGCCTCATACACAGAGGCATTGTCATATTAGAATAGGAAAAGGGTCCTGTCCAAACTGCTGCTATAAAATTAGAAGCACACAATTCCATAGAATATCATTATATGCTTAAACATTAAGATTTGTACCCATGGAAATTACTAAAACCTGTTTATTAGAAGGGGGTGTCCCAATACTTTTGTCCACATAGTGTATCATATATGATTGTAAAGACTGTTCTAAGCGTGCTTATGTATCATTTACTGCACAAGCAGTGATGAGTGTAAGTAAATGGGAATTTTTTTAGTCTCTAAACAATGACCTCATTTGGTGTTTTTAGAGGAGATATGACTCCCTGTACATACTGTGGAGAAATGGTGGGAAATGATGCCAAAATCACCATTGAGCACCTGAACATATCCTGTCACCCGTCCTGCTTTAAGGTACGCAACAATATCCGCTCACACAAATGACCTGTCTAATGTGTATGGCACAATATGCTGGATGCAGTTTAGCTTGTTTGTGATATGCTACACTGCTGTACTTAATGATATATGACAATATGCTTTAATGAAAATATGTATTGAATTTCTTTTCCCCCACCCCAGTGTGGTATTTGCAGTAAACCAATGGGAGATTTACTCTACAACATGTTTCTCCATCGTGGGACGGTCCACTGTGAGAGCTGCTATTCCAATGTGCTATAAGGAGATCTGTTACACTGCCTGAAATATCCCTCAACAGTATAGCTAACCTGCCTATTTGAATAGGAATTAGACTCGTTACTGGCACGAAACACGTTCCTCTTTATATTTCCTCACTGATCGTACCGCTGACATACCTTCTGAATATCATAAAAAGGTTTTCTTGTGCTATGAATGCTTGTTGCAGTGCATCTAGGATTTTTTTCTCCGATTCTGTCCCTTTAAATGTTTAGTGAAGACAATAAGAATGTATATCTCTGTTGTATTTAATCATGAGAAACCATTTTAAAGCAATATTTCTGTTTTAGTAGCACTGTTATGAAAATACGTATCCTGCATCGATATTCACAATTAAAGCAAAATTCTCATTGAATTCAAGTCGAATTCTCCTTTTATTGTTTTGTTACAAGTGAATGTGCAATAAAAAATATAAATATCGCATAAGAAATACTGAGGTACACAAACATTTAAACAGGTCAAGACATAAACAAGTCCCAGGAGTCTTATAGGAGAATCTCATGAACCACTCAAGAACGGGTCCAGAAAAAAAAAATCACTCAAAAAAAAATCAAAAGAATAGTTCAATTTTGCTTGTAGAAAAAGTATACCCATTTATGAATTTTTGCAAAAATTGTGAAATTTTTGACATTATTTTTCAGTTGTGACTGTACGACAACCTTCGCTCCAACATGACCCAAATTCCCATTAGTTCCCATCATGTGAAAAAATGCTATACTGTACAAAAAAAAAAAACTCCCACATAATCAACATATTTTGTACGTATCATGTGCTTAACTCTCATTAAAAAGACATTATAATCCAAAATCTTAATGGTCCAAAAAGGGGGTTGCTTTGCTTTATGCAGTCATTTTTCCTTTGGATTTTTGTAGTTAAAACTTGACCTTGATGTGTTTTCATGAGATTCACTCTTCAAGTCCCTCATGCAAAGAAACCATTGTTCATCATAACTGCAGTGATATCCATCTATGAGATCTTCTGTGACAAGCTGCAAGCAAGCCTGAGTGATTGTGAGCTGTGAATGTTCAACATCCGCTGAAGCTTGCAGATTAACATATAGCTCAAGAACATTCATTATGAATGCGTCATACAACATACTGATGGGAAATATTTAAATGTAACAAGATTATTGTGATGGTTTCTATTTGATTAGAAACTCCAGGATTGTAAAAATGGCTCATCAGCCTTGGGTGGACTGCCAAATTGTTTCCAGAAATATTTCAGTCTTGAGCTGTCAGAGGAAGTTTTGATCTGTGACGTCTCCTCATCGGCCTCTGGCTCTCCTCACAGCGATGCTCTGTATATGCTGCCACAATAATGACGGATCGGACACATTGTGTCTGACGAGTGACTCCAAACCCTCTGCTTGATCCAGACTCTGCCAGTAGTCCTGCGGCCACATCTGGAGCCAGCTGAGAACAAACACACATCACAGTTTCACTCTACTCCATGTCTTGCTCTAAGGGGGTCATCGGATGCAAAATTAACTTTTACATGGTGTTTGAACATAAATGTGTGTTGGCAGTGTGTGTACACAACCACCCTATAATGATAAAAATACACCCAGTACTTTTTTTAATCCCCATAAATCATAACCCCTTTCTCAAATCAAGCCGTTCTAAGATTATTGTCTGTGTGATGTCACACAGACCCAGGCCCCTCCTACGATAGTTGATTGACACTGGCGTTTTAGCACAGACCCGCCCTAAGTGAGCTGGAAACAGTCCGCCATTGTTTCACTGCCAGAGCAGGCGTAGACAAGAATGACTCCTAAGCGATTGAGGTGTTCTGTTGTTGGATGTAATAATGAACATAGCAGTTGTCATTTACTCTTGACATCTGAGCCGCTGAAGACACAGAGGATTACGTTTGCTTTTGAAGGGAATGCATCCCCGATCTACCGAAATGCGTTTATGTTCGCACAAATTATTCATGATCCAGCTTCAACTCGAGAGGTTAGTTTTTTTTAAATTAATCTTTGCAAATCGCCTTTCCTAATAATGTGCTAGTTAGCAAGTTCTAAAGTAAACAGTCTGGCTCGTCACCCCACGGAAGAGAGGGGCGGGGTCAGCAGAGCTCATTAGCATTTAAAGGGACATGCACCAAAATGGCTTGCTGTGAACAGAGCTGTTTTTGACTAGAGATCGACCGATATATCGATTTACCGATATTTTTCCCGATATTTAAGCATTTTACAATAATCGGATATCGGTTTTGTAATATCGGATTCACCGATAAACGCCGCCATCTTGTGGATGTTTTGAGAATTGCGTGCAGGATCGCCATTGCACCACGGCGCCTGAGGGGAGAGGAGACAACAACAACGGCATGCACAGGTACTTGATTTGCTGTAGTTAGTAAACTTTATTTAACATAACAGCCATTAATGCACAAATTAGATGCATTACATAAATGCCTGATATGTAGTTTATGCAGCTTGGCTCGAAGAAATAGAGACGAACTCACGGAGTCATGTAAAATAATCCATCAAGTCCTGTCCCAATAAAGACGTAACTTTGCCTGAATTAAATAATATGCAGCCATGAATGAGCGCATGTTGGAAATAAAAGTGCTGAATTTAATTCGCTCTCTGTTGTCTATGCTCATCGTCTCATGAAGGCGAAGTTGCGTAGGCTAAAATAATCCGTCAAGTCCTCTCCCAATAAAGACGTAATTTTGCATTAATTAAATAATACAGCCATGAATGAGCGCATGCTGGAAATAAAAACGCTAAATTTACTTCTCTCTCTGTTGTATATTTGCTCATCATTAGTCTCGTGAAGCCGCTTTCATATTGCTGTTCACTCGCCGGGTTGATGTGGTTGTGGTTGATGCTCAGGAAATGCTCCAGCACAGCACAGATTCACTTGTTTAAAACACCCCTAAATTGTATTAACATTTACTATATAAATCATTATTTCGCTAATAAACATCTAAATAAATACAACTCTATGGAAA